CATGAAGGTAAATCTAGGATATTAACACGCAAAATTCCATGAGCCTAATCATTTCGGTCAAATGTAACTAACAATATTATGGAACCAAGGTAAAACAGAGACAAACTGTGGTGACACAGACGGAATGCAATTACGGAAAAATCAACATGGCAGTAAGAAGGTAAAACGAATAATCTAACTAATTAAACATATGATGGTCCAGGGATTAGTGCTCAATGGAGCGAGCATGCAATGTGATATACCCTCTAGTGGCTGGGTATTAAAGAAGGTATGCTTTGCTCGTTCCTGAAGAAGTTAAGAGGATCAACGTTAGTCTTCACGTATGCCAACCTCTTGAAGTTGTTTTTGAAATATTTGGATCCCCAAATGCTGGCTTGGTCGTAGCCGGTATGACCATTGTTTTTATTAACCCCTATATCAAGATCTCTAATTCAGATATGCGGCTCTGGGAGACTTGGAAACAAATGGTACCATATAAGCATATAATCTTCTAATCCAATTAATATGCCTTTCTTCTGCTTCATTCCCTTCCTCCAGCCAGTACACCTCATGTTGAATTTTGTACAGGTTCCCGAATCTGTGCGGGAATGGAATCTCATCCTCCGGAATCTCATCCATTCTTCCTCCATAAGGATTTAGTATCATAATGGCAAACTCTGCTTCTTGTTCATAAAACATTGTCCATACCCCTTCTAAACCATCTTCTGGAATGGCTTCTCTCACATAATCCGATTTCGCCTTGAAAAACAGACCATTAGTTAGATCAGTTCTGTTGAGCAAAACTTCAAGAGGGGAACCACTTGAGAAATTGGCAAAGTAAAGGATTGACTCAATCCAGCTCATCTCAACACAATCTTCCCTCACCAAGCCCAGTTCGGGGAACATGTCCTGCATCAAAGGAAGCAGCTTTCCCTCACTTCCCAGAAACATAGACTCAAATGAAGCTTGTATGGTTGTCCTGTTGTTCACATTCACCCTCTGCAATATGACCCTGATGAACAGGTCCTTATCAAGCTTGCTTCCGACGGATTGCCAGGTGTGAACAAGCTTGGTCGCATTTTGTTCTAATGTCCTTGGAACTCTGAAAACCGTCACGCTTGGCGGTACAGAAACTAACCTTATTTTCCAAGCAGTAATAACTCCGAAGCTGGCTCCACCCCCTCCTCTGATGGCCCAAAACAGGTCTGCGCCCATGGATTCTCTATCAAGAAGCCTTCCTTTTGCATCAATTATATGGGCATCAATTATATTATCAGCGGCAAGACCATATTTGCACATCAAGAAGCCATAACCTCCTCCGCTAAAGTGGCCACCGACACCAATAGTGGTGCACACACCCGCAGGGAAGGCCAGGGATTTAGTTTTCTGGGCAATCTGGTAGTAAACTTGACCAACAGTAGCCCCAGATTGGACCCATGCAGTAGCACTGTGTCGGTCCACCTGGACTGAGTTAAGGTTGATGAGATCGAGGACGATGAACGGAAGGTGGTGGGAGACGTAGGAGAGGCCCTCATAGTCGTGGCCGCCACTTCTGGTTCGAATCTGTAATCCATGACGTTGGGTGCAAAAGATGGAAGCTTGAATATGAGATGGTCGGAGAGGCGTGACTATGACAAGGGGTTTGGGAGTTGTGTCGGATGAGAATCTGAGATTGTGAATGGAAAAGTGTAAAAGGGATGAGTAAGAGGAGTTGGTTGTGGTGAAGACGAGCTTAGAGAAAGAGGTGGCGTTTGGGGAATGAAGGTAAAGACATTGGAGGAAGTCTTCATGAGGGGATGATGATGATGCCAGCGCAAACGAAATTAAAACAACAAAAGCAACAGAAACGCAAGAGTTTGGAGGCTTCATTTTGGATTTGGTTCACATATGATGAGATTAGCTACTTTTCTTATTTATACACAGCTAGCTGCCTAAATTGAAGCTCAGTAGCATCTGATTACTCCTCGTGCCTGCTGCAACAGAGATTTTACCAGTACAAAGTCTTGAATCTATTTTCTGGGCTAAGGAATTGCTTGGAAAGCCGACTTAAGACCAAATGGTAATGTGTGGCTAGATCATTCAATGGACGCAGGGGTTGTTGGAGCCAAGGAAGACTGCTCAATCACGTAAAAATGTAGAGAAATTTCGAGGCAATAACTCATAGAGGCACGCAAACTAGCTCAAAGTTTCAATTGTGCTTGCACTCTAAAATCGAGGTGAGAGTTTGAAAGCAATAAAGCATGAGAAATAAGAGGTGTGTCATTTTGATATGACAAGATATGTATGGCGAAATGGTGGGTTAAGAGCCGTTGACACTCGTTTTGGCTTCGTTGCTGGCTAGTCACAGAAACGCCTCTTCTGTTATTCTCATTACTTGACCATGACTTTGAGTTCGTTCATTTCTAATTTAATGTGTTTACAGCCCATGTTTGTAATTACTTCTCTGCCCTATTTATAGGATAAAGAAATAAAACATTTTTTGTTCTATTTATAAAGTATTGAGAGAAATTTTTTATCTGGATATATAATTTTATCCTTCATTTGTTATTATATTGACTTTTTTCTGAGGTATAATATATATTAAATAAGAATAAAATTTAAAAGCAGTTGAATTTTAAATACTCTTCTGGTCCTATTTATGGGGCAAATAAAGAATATTTTTTGGTCATATTATAGGGTACTAAGAAATGTTTTACATAGACGTATAATTTTACCATTCATTTATTATTGTCTTAATTTTGTTTACATGAAGTATAATGTATATTAACTAAGGATAAAGTTAAAAAGTTGTTGAATTTTAAATGAGAGTTAATGAAATTTAAAGTTTTTCTTTATATGTGTGAAACATGTTAGAAGTGACTTATAAATAGGATGAGAAGAGTAAGAATTAATGAAATTTAATGTTTTTTTAATCCATGTGAAACGTGTTAAAAGTGACTTATAAATAGGATAAGATGAATATTATATACATAGATATATATATATATATATATTGCGCGCTTGAGACTATTTGCAAAGCCTGCAACAAGCTAATCAAAGAAACCAAGTGTGGGAAGAAGCCATAAATGAATATTCACGCTTGGCTTATACCCTCGATCTAGTACGCAACGCAGTACAATTCATATTAGATGTGTATCAGTTATGAGGATTCCAAGAAAAGAAAAAATATCAAACATGTCGTCTTTGATTTTTCATATAGGACCAAACATGCATGGACAACACCTAAAAGAGACGTACATATGGACAATTATTGTAAGTTATAACTTGTTCCTTATATATCCATCATGATGAAGCTGCTAATAACGAAAAGATCAATTTTAATATATTGCGTCTGAGTATCTGGAGGCGCTAGATCTCAGAATTCAACGAAATAAAGATGACGGATTCATCAAAATGTATGTATGCTGATCAAAGTGATGACGCTGGCCATTCTTTTCTTTTGATTTTTCTTTTTGCTACAATTGTGTAAGGCATCCGAATTGAAAGCGTTTACTAAAACGGTGATTTAGTCGTATTAAATAAAATAGGATATGACTTCTTGTGCAAGCCTCCCGATATTCAACGATACGAGATGGAGAGATTGGCAACGAAATTATATATATTTGGACAAGAATTATAACAAGTAATGTTAATCTATTATTTATTGATGTGTGAATATATATTTTTAATTCCAGTCTATTTTTGACGATGAAACGTAAAGATGTCAATATAATCAACTCAAATGGGATACATGATATATGCTGTATTATTAATATTATATATATATATATTATATATATATTATTATTATTATTAATTGTGCAATAAAAGCATCTGACTGTAAATGGATATGCTTAATGGAAAGTAACGCATATTTTATTTTTATATTCATAAAATGTTGCTCTACGAAAATGAAGACGGCGCCCTGGAGAAGCTATCTGCTTCACTGGGAAATAATTAATGGGATATGGAAAAGAACGCGATGATATTAGACTTGGTGATTATTACTGCCTGCTAATGATATAATAATCATCATGGCTAAATATTACCAGACAAAAAAGTTGTTCTTATTTATTTAAAAGATTTATTATCATAATTATATACCCATTATTATTAGATGTAAATATGTATAATGTAAAGACAAGAAAGAGAGTGGACAATAGGAGAAGTAGATCTGAGAGGTGAGGCTACCAACAGGAGTTGGGTCTAGCAGAAGGGGCTAGTCTCCCATAACATGGTGAATCAAAGTTCGAATCTCTACTGAAAAAGGTGTCCATATTTAGTGCCTGACAGTGTCTCGAATACGATTGCCTCTAATAAAAGTATACATATGCTTTAGTGCAAAAAAAAAAAAAAAAAAACTGAGTGGCGAGGCTAAGGTTAGTAATATGCTCATTATTATGATGGACCCTTCAACTCTGGAGAGTCTGTGGTCTTTAGTTTTTGGCAGTGAATCCAAAGCCATGAAGGGTGTAACATTAAGCTATTGGAATTCACAACACAGTATCTGTTGCTGTTGGCGTACGTTTTCACACAAACCTCCACACCCCTCGCCGTCCCTCCCAAATCAAAGTATAAAAATGTTTTAATCATGTATTCGCAGGTCAATGCATAATCCTGCTACGTAATCTGTTCTTGGTCAATTTGGGAGATAGCTTATAATTTATAAATGATCATCTTCTTCTTTTTTTTTAAATACTACCTCCGATCCTTAATATAAGACACCGTTTGACTTTTAGTTTGGTCCTAATTATAAGACCCAATCCATTTTGTCTCTCATATTTATGCATTTTTTTCCAAGATAGTCCTTCTAATAATGATAATTCTAACCAACACACTTAATTAGCAAGGATATTTTAGGAATGGCAACACTTATTTGTTATAAATAACTAACTTAACTTACTTCTTTAATCTCCTCAAATTAGTCAACTGGGTCTTATAATTAGGACCGGAGGTAGTAACATATTGTTTATCACCAGCAGATCTCTATAAATTTCACTACAGATTGCCCCATGGGTTATCGGATTATCCCCAATCCCATCAAATTAAACATGGGTCGTTCAGCAATACTACCATTACTCTCATTACTTTCCCTTCTTGTGCTTCTTTCCCTCGCTTCACAAGCCTCTGCTTCTTCCTCTCCTTCTTCCTCTCGCAATACTTTCATCCGTTGCCTGGTAAACCATTCCGAACCCTCTCACCCCATAACCTCAGCCATTTTCATCCCGAGCAATGCCTCTTTCTCCTCCGTTCTAGAAGCCTACATCAGAAACCTCCGTTTCAACAACTCCGATACCCGAAAACCATACCTTATACTTACCGCCTTACATGTCTCCCACGTCCAGGCCGCCGTTATATGTGCTCAAAAGCACAACCTGCTCATGAAAATCCGAAGCGGAGGTCACGATTATGAGGGTGTCTCCTACAGAGCTCAGCTCCCCTTCTTCATCCTTGACATGTTCAATCTCCGATCCATCCAGGTTGACATAGACAGCGAGACGGCTTCCGTTCAAGCCGGAGCGATTCTCGGTGAAGTCTACTACAGAATCGCTGAGAAGAGTAAAACCCATGGCTTCCCTGCTGGGGTTTGTCCCACGGTTGGTGTGGGAGGACATATAAGTGGTGGTGGGTACGGGAATATGATGAGAAAATATGGTCTCTCGGTGGATCAAGTCATTGATGCACAGATAGTGGACGTTCATGGAAGATTACTCGATAGAAAATCTATGGGTGAAGATCTATTCTGGGCCATTAGAGGTGGCGGGGGAGCCAGCTTTGGAGTTGTGGTATCCTACACATTGAAGCTGGTTCGAGTCCCGGAGGTGGTCACCGTTTTCCAAGTTGCTAGGACCCTGGAGCAGAATGCCACAGAGATACTGCACAAGTGGCAGCATGTTGCCCCTAGTATTGATAATGACCTTTTCATTAGGGCTATCATCGACGTGGTCAATGGTACTGAAAATGGGACAAAGACTGTGAGGGTCACCTTCATAGCCTTGTTCCTTGGTGACTCCAAAAGGCTTCTTTCTATCATGAACGAGAGCTTTCCTGAATTGGGTTTGAAGCAATCAGATTGCATAGAAACGAGCTGGCTTCAATCGGTGTTGTTTTGGACAAACATTAATATTACAGAACCGGCTGAGATTTTACTTGATAGGACGCCTCAGTCACTGAATTACTTGAAAAGGAAGTCTGACTATGTGAAGGAACCTATTCCGAAACAAGGTTTGGAGGGGATATGGAAGAAGATGATAGAATTGGAGGACACAATTCTATATTTCAATCCTTATGGCGGACGAATGGCTGAAATTCCGGCCTCCGCAACCGCTTTCCCTCATCGTGCTGGGAATTTGTGGAAGGTATATAAATGCCTTTGAATCAATTTTATGACGCACATCCACCCACACACACACACGTATATGTAAATACGCAATAATCGTCTCACACATAGTTTGTCCTTCTAATATAACAACAGGTGCAATATCAAGCGAACTGGAATGAGGCTGGGAAAGAGGTAGCAGATCCCTACATAGAGCTGACAAGAAAACTTCACAAGCACATGACTCCGTTTGTGTCCAAGAACCCTAGAGGAGCATTCTTCAACTATAAGGATCTTGACCTGGGCATCAACCACAACGGTAAGAACAGCTACCAAGAAGGCAGAGTTTATGGGGTGGAGTATTTCGAGGACAACTTCGACAGGTTGGTTCGAATTAAGACCGACGTTGATCCTTCCAACTTCTTTCGAAACGAACAAAGCATCCCTACCCTGCCCCCAAATCGCAAGGGATAGATCATAGACACACCACCCCGCCAGTTAATTATTTAAATTGGCTAGCTCATATACGCAAACTAGACTAGTTCAGATTGGACTGCTTTGTTTGTCTGGATTGATTGGCTTCTTTTCATTAAGTAGGAATCAATTTATTAAGGTCAACGCCTTGTTCAACTTTTTAATTTCTCCCCTTATTGTATCCATCCCCAACAATAATAACTACGACCACGCACGTCCACATATAAACTCCGCCGTATCTTGTAAAATCAATATATATTATTGATGTTTAGCCTGCAAATTTATATCAAAGCACCAATGTCTTTTATTTCAGTATAACTTTTATAAATCAATTGACGCTTTTCTCGAAGATATCCTTTTATTGGAATACAACACACAATTTTAATTTAGCAGTAATGATATCGTATACACTTTCCCCCACAGCCATGCATGTCATTTTCATTCAACATTGATCCTCATCAGCCAATTAAGCATGTGGTGACTCAATTTCTCTTGCCCATCATATTTATAATCCTTTTTTAATTACTTATGAAACCTAGCCTTCTCCCGTACGTCTTTGTTCGCAATTATTACAAGGAGAACACCTATTAAGAGAATGAAAGATTAATTTATGAGAATAAAGATGAACGAAGAAAAAGGACGAAAAAGAATTGATATATCGACCGGAGATGATGATATATACAACAAGACCAGACACATGCATGCATGCTGATGCACGTGACAGTAGTGCTACATGAAACTGACAATAATGAAGCTAATGAGTGAAGGAGGTAAAGCAGACCTGAAATTAAAGAACCCTTTAACTTGTACTAATATCTATACACACTGATAACTCAACTATGAGATGCCATAAGCTGTGCTGTATCACTAAATTGAGATGAGTGATCGAAATACCAGAAAACTAATAATGACTCCAACCTATATATCAATCACAAATAGTCCCCGGACGCGCATATATATATATATATATATATATATATATGTTTTGAGAATAAAAACCGTGGAATATGTACACACGCATAAAAGTTGTAGTGATCTACGAGATCGCTACAATTTATCTCTCTTCTGAAACAAGGAAGCCCTAGGACGATGAGTGGGAAGCTCGGGTGTTTAGAGTGGATGCGGATGACTCGTAATCTGCACCCCAAATCTGGCAGCCTTCCAATGATGCCCCCAACTCAATTTCCTCGTAAATTCTGCTTCTCAGTCTCTGAATCCCTTCTAATTCCGCAGTCACTTCTCTCATGCTCGGCCTCGTCCTCCCATTCAAGCTCAAGCATCTGCTTGCCAGGTTTGCCACCGCCGTGATATCTTCTCTCGCCTCCTCCGTGATTCTGGGGTCCACAATCTCATATAAACGCGCTTCATCCATGCACATTATGAAATACGAAGCCAGACTCTGAGCTTCCTCTGGCCTTCCAGATGCTATTGGAGCTTGACCTGTCAGCAGTTCAACCAGAACAACCCCAAAGCTGTACACATCACTCTTGTCGGTGAATTGACTCGTGTGGAAATACTCAGGATCCAAATACCCAAAAGTTCCCTGAACTTGAGTCGTGATGTGAGTCTTTTCCATAGACAGCATTCTTGAGGTTCCAAAATCAGCAACCTTTGCTCTCAACTTGTCATCCAACAGTATGTTAGTTGATTTGATGTCTCTATGGTAAATGGGCCGCGAAGCAGCCGAGTGCAAGTAGAACAGAGCTCCCGCAACTTCGCCGGCAATTCTTAAACGAGCGTCCCACGTCATTGAGATCTCCTCATTTTGTTCGTGCAGGTGCTCGTAGAGGTTACCGTTTGGAATGAATTCATAAACCAGCAGAGGAACTTGTGTCTCCAGGCAAAACCCTAACAACCTCACCACGTTTCTGTGGTTAATCTGAGAAAGAATAACCACTTCGTTGATGAATTCTTCAACATTTCCTTGGAGTCTGAGTTTCTTGACGGCAACAATTTGACCGTCGGCGAGCATGCCCTTGTAAACAGTGCCCTGGCCTCCCTTTCCCAGCACTCTATTAACGTTGAAGCGGTCGGTGGCTTTTTCGAGGTCCTTGGAGCCGAACAGTTTGGTTTTGACATCGCCGTTTACCGATCTCCGTTGCAACAGCAAGCCGCCATTTTGTTTGAAGTATTTCTCCTTTCGTTTGTTTATTCTGCTTTTCCTGAAGATTTTGTATTGGATCCACACGCCCACCAGGAAAACAACGGATACTAGGCTCGAGAAAACTGCCCCTATAGACATATATGTAAGCACATGCGGTTACTAATAAAGCGTCAAATACAATAATATCATCTCAACACACAAGTGCCAAGCGCAATTCAGCAACTACTATAGGAGAAAGTATAACTCCGTGATCCTCTTTATCAATGCAAGTCCCCAAAAAAAAATTTTCTCTCTCCCCATTTTAGTTATACTTTTTTCTTTGAAAAAATAGGTAAAGAAATTTTTTTGACCTATGCCGTTTATTTATTATTTTATTTCAAATAAAAATTTCAAAATGAAACAAACAATGGATTTATGCGGGGAATTATTAATACGTTGGTTCCATATATATATGACTCTCATGACATTGATGACTATGATATGCTATTTTGAAAAAATTTTTCTTCTTCTCAATTAAGGACCAAAATGTTGATAATTCTTTTGCAACGGAGTCAAAATTCATCAATGTAGGCAGTCTTTATATGACAAAACCAGTTTTGGTGCTCATCACAATGATGAACACCATGATTCTCATCGCTATAATGAAATCTAAATAATTCAAAATTAGTTCTATTGATCTAAATTTAAAATTTTCAACTAGTAAATTTTAAATAAAAAATTATTTTTTGAAAAACTTACAATTAAAATATTGCATTTATTTTGAATTATGTGCCTATTAAAAGAAAAATATTTTTTAAGAAACAATAATATTAAATATTAAATCTTGGCTGTCCATATTAAATTTGAATGGTCAAGATTTGATTATCACCATTATGCTTAGCACTGAAACTGGTTCCTTATCTGGCACATAGAAAGAACTTTGCAAAAGATTATGCCTAAATGAAATTAGTTTTGGTGCTCATGGCAATGATGAGTACCATGGTACTCTTCAATACAGTGAGATTTACACCATTTAAATATAGTTTTAGTGGCTTAGATTTAGAATTTTTAACTAATGATTTCTAAATTTAAAAAATATTTTTGAAAAATTATCATTCAAAAGATTATTTTTATTTTGGATTCTATATGCATTGAAACAAAAAATTTTAAAAAAAAGCATTAAAAAAATAAATCTACACCATCTATATTAGATATAGGTGATCCAAATTTAATGATTATTATGAGTAATGAAACTAGTTGCATGTCTAAACTTAGGCCACTTTGTTGTAAAAATTCTTTTCATGCGCAGGACACACTTAATGAATACTACCTCCGGTCCTTAATATAAAATCCTATTTGACTTTTATTTTGGTCCTAAATATAAAACCTCAATCCACTTTATCTCTCATATTTATACATTTTTTTCCAAAGTAACCCTTCTAACAATGATAGTTTTTATCAATACACTTGATTAGTAAGGATATTATAGGAAAGACAACACCTATTTAGGACAAATAACTAATTCAATTTATTTTCTTAATTTCCTCAAATTAGTCAACTGGCTCTTATAATTAGGATTGGAGGTAGTATATCCCCCTCAAAAAAAAAACTTTTCAACACAGACATATAATAGACAAGTTCCATTTAAATATGAAAAGTAGGCATGGTGGATGCAGGAAAGTCCACATGAATGAGAGCTGTTAATTGGGCTGGGACTGATATTCTTAATCTCCTCGTGAGAATTGACGTGTAGCGTGCCATGATTTTACCACTAAATTTTCTCTTTTCAAAATAATTAATCAGACTTCTTCAACATGACTTTTAACGAGAGTAACTTTAATGTTTAACAAAGAAAACAGAAAGAAACTAATCTTAGCCAACTAATTTTCAGAGGTTGTTTTAAAAGATGAGTAACGGCAGGTAGATCAAAGTATGCAATCATTTCTAAACTGAGAAAGTGTTTGGGTAAGAACAAAATCATGGTTTCAAAAGTATTTTTACAATATACGAAGTAAATATGTAAAAGAGTTTGTCTTAATTTACGGAAAAGTGTCTCTGAGAAGTGATTTTGGAATTACTCAAACATCCCCTTAAAATCACCAGAAGGAGAATTTAGTACATTTACATGAACAATACGCGTACCTATCACCGACAAGCCTGGAGATTTGGATCCTGAGTTGCCTCGCCCGCCTGAAAGTTGGAAAACCGAAGTCAGTTATACGTTTTGAGCACCATTCTGATCTTTTTGCAATCGTTACTTGTAATAGTTTTTTACATATTAAAAAAATTATTAAATATATAAAAAATTTTATTTTTATCCTCATTAAATGTTAGTATTTTTTTTTACACATTTATTTTTTTATCTTTATATTTATCTCCCTTGATTAATAAAGACAGAGTTAAAAATAAAACATTAGAAAGAGTACAAGTCAAGTAGTCAACACAAATAAAAAGAAACCAAATTCCTTCTATGACAAGTATTAATGAGTGAGAATAATGGGTTTATCCAAAGACATAGTACGGACCTGTAGAACCACAGGGATTGGCAGTGAACAGAGGACTAGCACACTGAGGTGGGAGAGGCGAGTTCAGCGCCTCGGAAGACAAAATATCAGAGACATTGCAGGCGCTATAATATTCGAGCACTGCAGGAACGCCATTCAAATGACTTAACGAACTGAGAATCCTGTTGCCCCAATCGTTTTGGCCCTTGTCTTCAACAATAAGAGCATAACTGCAATCGCCATGATTTCCTGCCACGTGTTCAATTCTGGGATTATATTCCGACAGACCCCTAGGCAGGGAAGCGGTGCAGCAATACTGGCCCAGGCAACCTCCAATTGCGGAATGATTGAGGTTGACGCTGCTGCAAATGGAGACGCAGCCGCCGAAAACGCCGTCCTGGGAGCCTTGCAGAAGAAGAGCTTGTGTGCCGCAGCCCGCACCCAGAAAAACGTTGTCCTCCCGAGAGTAAGCAAAAGGACTGGCAGTCATATTTAGGGGAAGACTTACATTTGCGCCGCCACGTGTGG